ATATGTGACTTGTTAATATAAATAATAAATGTCAAGTCAGGAAGTATACCATTAAAACCAAAGAATGCATAGGTAGATGAACCAGATTCCTGTTCAATCTTGAAGTGGTAGTTTAATGACATCTCCTGAATCCTTGTCATTAGGCATTCATCAGCATTTACTGCGTACCAGGTAAATCCAATTTATTAGCTAACATGGAACAGGAAAATTAACAAAAATGTTATGTTTATTGAATAAAACTGATTTCACATCGGCTGTTACGTTTAATAGGCCTAAAATATCATTTTAGCCTATAAAGTGACACCCTCTAACTAAAAAGACTTAAAAAGCGATGTTGACGACAATAACACCTATAAATTGACATAGTTAACCACTTATACCTGCTTCGGTCACAGTTTTGATTTGAGCAGAAAAATTTTGAACTTTTGCATTTATACCCCTAATATCTCTCACATTTACATATTTACTATTCTCTGAATTAATAAATTTTCACATAAACCCAACTCTCCCTTTCTTCTCAACCTCTCTCTCCTCGCTCCCCTCATTTTCTTCCTCCACTTCTCTTCTCCCCTTTGTCCATTCCCTTCTCCACTTTCAGTAATGTTTGAGGGGAGAGAGAAGAGAGGAAAGGAGAGGACGGAAGGGTTGGAGAAAACTGAGATAAGAGAATAGAGGGAGGTTGAGGAGAGGAACATGGGAGGAGAAGGAGGGAGAGAATTTTGGGAAGGAGGAAAAGGGAGAGGGAGTAAATGGTTAAGTGTGTCGATTTATAGGTGTTATCATCGTCAACATCACTTTTGAGGCCTTATTAGTTAGTGGATGTCACTTTATAGGCTAAAATGTTATTTTTACCCCATTTAATATGTCCTGAACTTATAGTTGATACTGCTATGGCCATAAGTTTCTAACTCAGATATGAGAGTATAATGGTAACATGTCCACGCTCTTCTTTTTCTCTCACTCTGATTATTCTCATTTACTAGTTATTGACTATTTTTTTTGGCTTGTCACCAGAAGGGCATAAACAAGACGTTGCTAACCATAGCAGCATCAAGGCTAGGAATGAAACAATCAAAACCCCAGTATTTATTTATTTGTTTTAAGGAAATTAACAAGACTTGTACGTAGGTTGGAAACTGTATATGAGCTCACCAAATTTCCATCGAGCTTGGACAAGCGCAATTTCGGGATTATGCATGAGGAAAGGAACAGTTCGCATAAGAAAATCTGGTGCTGGTTGAAAATCAGCGTCAAAAACAGAAACATAGTCGCATCTCTGAACATAGTCAATTTCCATTGCTTCCTTCATAGCTCCTGCCTTGTACCCATTTCTATTATCTCTTGAGATATAATGTATGTTTATTCCCTTCCTGAGCCATCTTTCACACTCCGCCTGTACCATGTCCTGCAATTTTAGCTAGCGTAAGATACAAAGAAAACATTAATGCAGATGTTATTAGAAGAAAAAAAAAAACTTGGTGGATTCAGTTTATCTTCGATCGACATGATTCTAAATCAAGTATAGGATGAAAGACTTCGACCGTTATTATAACAAAAGTGAACTCATCTTCTAAGCTCCTCAAATCTCAATCTTTACATCAGAAACATATGAAGTATAAAAAGGATGACGTGCATCCTTCCTCAGAAGTTAAAAGAGAGTCTGCAGGTCTGTCTTATTAGCTTTTCCTGTGGTGCAAACTCTACTCTTTAATCATGAGGGGCCTACGTTTGACGATTCAAGATAACAAAACAAAAAATGCCTTTGGTTTCACTAGGGCTTGGTTCTAATCAAGTTTAACCGTCATGGACAGATCCCAGTTATCAAGCATTTACTTTCTCAGCTTTATGGTAACATATATATATATATAATTGAAGTTAGATGTGATTTCATATATTTTTATTCTCAAGAATGGATGACCGGCCCATGTTACTGGCATTTTCCTAAAACACGTCGTCCTTTCTCTCCTGAAAATTAAGCTCCCTTGAAACGTTATTCTGATGAAGCTATATGAATGAGAGAAGTCCTTTTGCAGTAACAATTTCTTGATTTGAACTAGCGAGCTAGTTAAAGGAAATTAGGACTTCAAATTGTTATCTTCGCAGCTTGGTTCACGCATTAATACAGACCCTTGTGCTTAAGTCAGTTGAATCATCGAGCACTTGCACAATCAGTCGATCGGATGGCCACACAAGACTGCATACAGCTCCAATAGAATGTTTATAGACCTGCAGCAAATAGAATCTTATATAGCAAAATTAGATATTTCTGAGAAGAAGCTTGGTATGAAATGTTTAGTGGGAAAATGTCACTGTTCATGGACATAGTATGAATATGCATGCTTGGGAGGAATTAATTACCTCTTTCTCATTAAACATTGGAACCTGGATGAGAACCATGGGATAAGCTAGAGTTCCCAGCTCCACATCCTCCTTAATGGGCTCCCATTTGTAGACTTTTTCTGGTTTCCTACCGAACACCTTAACGTAAAGACTCACAAGCCCCATAGTCAGCTTCTCAACGAGCAGCATCACTGACATGATCAAGCACAAGATGACCGCAACCTTCATCACCGGCAGGAGTACCTTCTCTCTCAGCCTCCACCAGATCAGATCGAACTCGTCAGGCAGAGCCCCGGCTACTGACAAGAAGATTATCTGAACTGGTTCTGCGAGCGATAGCATAAGGGACTGGGAGGCATTGGCTGCATTAATTCCAAAGGTTAGATAAAGAAAATTGGAAAAAGGAAAAAGGAAAAAAAAAAGAAAAGAAAGGAAAATGACCAATTAATCGGTGAAGGGGATATTTAAATCCTTAAAGCCGATCATTTTACTTAAATTAAAACTCCTGACTCGATCAGTTCTCGGGTACGTACCTTGTAGGGCTATGGCATCCATCTCCGAATGTTCCTCTGCTAGCTCAAAGTTGTGCAGAGGAGTAGTACTCTCGAGTCAGAAGGAAAATGAGGCCTTACTTTTTTTTGATGGGATGTGGCTTAATTTTTATATGAGAGATGAGAAACGAATAAACGAGCTTTTTTTGATGAATGTGTTTGCATGCATGCAATTATATCGTTATTAATTAATGCCATGCATGCATGGTCCCCTGCTGCTTTAAGTTTAATTAATTAGCAGATCGATCATAGAAAAGTTCGGCGAATTAAATGGGTGGTGGAGGGTGTAAAGCGTACGAGCTGAAAGACGAGTGAGTGGTGAGGCAAAACCAGCACTTTATTAATTTATTTGGAGGGTTGCTGGTGGGCTACAAGGATGACAGCTTTGTTTATTCTAGTCTATCATCTGCGTGCGGGTTTCCTTCGTTTTGGAAGAATTAATAAAGCTACATTTCTTTGCAGCCCCGGCCCCAGATTAAATGACACGTGCGGAAATCGAACGAGGAAAACTAAAGGTGTTTGAAAGATTAATTAGATTAAAGGTGGGCTAGCTTCATCAGCAAGAGGCTTTTGATGGTCAGTTCAGAAGCTTCACCATTGTGTCAGAAACTTTGGAAAGGTATCAGGTCTAGCTAGAAGCAAATGCATCAAAGTGTGCAGTGTTCTATGGGGGGTGTTGAGGAATCTGTTAAAAATGCTATACATAGAGAAATGGGCTATTCTGAAGGAAGCTTACCCATAAGATACCTTGGTGTTCCTTTGATTTGTAAAAGGTTATCTTTCATTGACTGTGCTCCTCTCTTCAAGAAAATTACCACCCAGCTTCAGACATGGAGGAATCATAGAAATCTGTCATACGCTGGGAGGCTTCGCATCATTAAAAGTGTCATTCTGGGTATTCAAGTCTATTGGACATCTAACTACACTTTACCAATCAAAGTCCTCCAGAGAATTGAGAGAATTTTTATGGGGGAAAACTGAAAAGAATTTTAAAACTTCACTGGTTGCTTGGGATAAAGTCTGTATGGAAATGAAGCTTGGTGGATTGGGTGTTTTCTCAGCAACAAGATGGAATACAGCCACAACTTTAAGAATGATATGGTACATTCACATTAACAAGGAGATGTTATGGATAAAATGGATCCACGGCACATATCTAAAGAATAATACAATATGAAATGTTAATATCAAAACAGGGGATTCTTGGATGTGGAAACAAATCCTTAAAACTAGGATAAAGCAATTACCAGATATGGAGGGATTGAAAACTTAATCCAACAAGTCAGCTCATGTTACAAAGGATCAAAGGTCAAAATCTCTAAACTCTATACTGCTATCTCCCCTTCAGCAAGCAATGTTCAATAGTATAATACAGTATGGGGGAGTTTGAATTACCCAAAACACAGTTTCATTCTATGGCTAGCTGTGCGTGACAGATTACTCACAAGGGACCGTTTGATGAAGAGGGGTATCATTCAAGATGGACATTGTTGTTTATGCAATGGGTCTGTTATAGAATCCATGAATCATTTGTTTTTTGAATGCAATTATTCAAATGCTGTCTAGAATAAAATTATGGACTAGCTATGTTTTAAATGGAGGGCTAGCAATTGGAACTTGGTGATAAACTGGTTCAGCTATAGGCTAAGAGGGAAATGTTTCAAGCAGAATGTGAAGAGATTAGCTTTATCGGCTACAATATATTGCTTATGGAGGGAGAGAAACAACAGAATTTTCAATCATGAAATCAAGAGTGCTAACCAGATAGCAAGGGAGATCAAAGTTGATACATTAACAATCACACTCAACAGCCCCATTTCAATGGAACACAAAGCATGGCTTTTAGCATTGTAAAAGCCATATACTTGTAAATGTTGTGACTGATGCTTTGAGAAACCAAACCAACGAACGCCGAGAGAAAGACCAAACAAAACACAAACACCAAGGTTTTACGTGGTTTGGCAAATTGCCTACGTCCACGGGGCAAGAAGGGGGTGGGTTTTCACTAATAGAGAAGGAGAGTACAAATTGAGATTACAAATCGCTCAAACGAACCAACTAATCTCACCAACAAATCTCTCAATCTCTCAACCAATAACCCTAACAAATAGCTCAGAAAGATCTCTCTTTTTCTGTGCTCCAAAACCCCAAAACTCTCCCCACAAAACCCTCAAATCGTATTGGTATTTATACCAAAACAGAAACCCAAACAGACTGCAAATAGGAACCTGAACTTTCCAAAAAACCCGTCATAAGTCGACTTATCAGTCTGCATAAGTCGACTTGGCAGAGCGAAAAACAGCAACTGGAGAAGAGATCATAAGTCGACTTATCAGACCTGATAAGTCGACTTGGCAGAGCAAAAAACCAACAATCCAGAGCAGAACGTAAGTCGACTCATGCACCAACATAAGTCGACTTACCATAAGTCGACTTATGCCTGTGCATGAGTCGACTTATGACCAAAAATCTGCTTTTTCCAATTCTTCTCCACAATTCTCCACCTCGGCGAAGTTTTCCCAAAACTGAGCCGACACCAACCAAACAAATGCCTCACATGCTGAGACCCAAATGAGAGTGTGAACACTCACCCCAAATGTCGATGTCGCTCACCAAATCGGCTGCATCAAAATGACTGCCTACGTATCCTTTGCCCAAGGAATCAAGCCTTCACGTAGTTCACCCAAACGGCCTCCAAAGGCCCTCAATCAAATAGAAAAGTCTGCAACTCTTCTCCAATATCACCAAACGATCTGCAACTGATAGTATTCCCAATGACCCCAAATTGAGACAAATCAAACACCTCCACCTGAGGTAAACCAATGGCCATATCCAAACTATATCTACCAGCTGCAACTGAATCCAAAACCAATCCATCATCTGCATCCAAAACCAAATGATCTCCAACCTGTGTCACCTTAGCTGGAATCCCAAATGACGCAGTATGATCTGGAGTATGTGGAGTAATCTCCACCCAACGTGGAGTAGCATCACTCTCCACCTGCTGCGATATCCAAATGACCTGATCAACACTCTCCACCTGCCGAGAGTCAAAAGTGACATACCTGCTCAGAACAAAATCAGAAGCTCCCAAACGATAATCAACTGAGCCTCCGAACCCCAAACGCGCAATCGGATCCAATCTCACATCCACGATGTGACCAAATGCTGGGTATCCAAATATCCGACGCGACCCAAAATCTGAAGCAGCTCCACCAGATCTAATAACTCCTAAAGCAGCAGTCGGCGACCTATGCATAAGATGACCCAAATATGTCGAAGCCCGCACACCAATGCCAATGCTCGACATCAAACGCCGATCCTCCTCCAGAAAGGAACGACCCATCGAAACTGTCATCTCATCTCGTCGCCCCAAAGTCTCCACACCAATGAAGTGTCTCCTATTGCCGTGAGCTCGGCACCAACGCAAGAAAGGACCCCTACCAAAGCTGAAACAATGAGTTACCTTTCTGCCAATACACTTCTTCCAATTGTTGTTGACTTCTAGGACTTTACACCAACGGGAACTGGTCGCGACCCAATAATGCCTAGAACAATCACCAACTGTGGAAACCAAGATACGATTACCTCCCAATGATGCCTCCTTGGAAGGCCCCCAAATGCCTGACTGAACACCTCCAAAAAGACCCCTCGCTCGATGGATAGAAGTGCCAAACTCCACCACGGTCTCGCTCATCCTAATGTGCTCACAGGACTTCAATCTGCAGGTCATAGCACTCCTCAACAACCAATGCACGGTATTACCAATCATATACCCCAGCACCAAACAATGCCACAGTCTAGCCGAATCTGATGAAGTCGTCATTTCCCTATCAATCACCGTGCTTCCGTGCAAATAATACAAATTTCTTCTTCTGACGCCCTTCATCACAATCATGGACCCAAATGTAACCTTCAAGCGTGCATCCGCCAAGGTCACCCTATAGCCAGCTGCCTCCAAAGCTCCAAGTGAAATGATGTTCTTCTTCAACTGAGGAACGAACCTCACTCCAACCAACTCCCGAATCACCCCGTCACTCATCCTGATCCGAACAGTACCAATACCACCAATAGAGCATTTGTGATCATTCCCCATGAGCACGAAATCCCCTCTTTCCAACTCCTGAAAGCTGGAGAACCAATCCCTCCTAGGGCAAATGTGGTATGTAGCACCCGAATCCAATATCCACTCTGTAGAGTAGGCAACACAAACTGACGGCAGTGCAGATAACGAGTAGCCCGAAGAATCCGAATCTGAATCGTTGCCACTAGCCTTGACAACATTCGCCTCTGAAGCTTGAATAGCTTTTCCCTTATTCTTCCCGGCTCGATCAACTAACTTTGGGCAATCGGCTTTCCAATGTCCATCTTCTTTGCAAAAGGCACATTGATTCTTACGAACTCCAAGATGTGCCCCTCTAGACTGCGACCTCCCACTACGGTTTGGACCCTTTGCTCTTGCGACCAACGCCCCCGCTACCGGCTCAAACGAAGTCTCCTTATCCTTCTTTCGAAGCTGATAATTCACAAGTGCAGCGGTGACCTCACTATACGAAAGAGATGCCTTCCCATTAATAAGAGTAAGAACGAAGGTCTCATATTCCTCGTCAGGCAAGGAACTCAATAGCAACAACGCCTTGTCCTCATCTTCAATCTTAACATCCACATTCGCCAAATCCGCAAGAAGCTTCGTGTAGTGGTTCATGTGATCACCAATGGAGGTTCCTTTCTTCAACTGGAAGCGGTAAAGCCTCCTCTTCAAATGCAAGCGATTCTCCACACTCTTGGTCAAATACTTGCTCTCAAGGATCTCCCAAATCTTCTTTGCAGAAGTCTCATTGATCACATCATACTTTAGATCTTGAGTGAGACAAGACCTAATCACACCACACGCCGTTCGATTCATCTTTTTCCAAACCTTCTCATCAATGTTGTCCGGTTTCCCGTCCAACTCCAACGTATCTTCCAAATTTTGCGCGTTGAGCGCATCCATGACTTCGCATCGCCAAAGTCCAAAATTGTTTGTGCCATTGAACTTTTCCACATCAATCTTCATTGAGTGGATATTCAAGCTTTGGACGGTCTTCACGCCGGAAGTACTGCCCACAACTCCTTCTTTCTCGGCCATAATCCTCAAGGCACCACCAAACCA